GTTATAAACTGGTAGTATATAAAAAATAAAGCAGTATCATATTTCATTTTATTAGATATTTACTTATTTTTTACAGTACTCAAGGCTGAACCCATGGTCTCACACATGCCAGGCAAGCATTATACCACTGAGCTCAGTATCCTATTTTAAATAACTAAATTTGCTATTGATTAAATCTTTTCTTGACTCAAATAGCTCAGGCTGGTCATCAACTTTAAACTATTAAAATTACACTCTGTTAAAAAATAGTTTATTATTATTGTGTGTGCATACATATGATATGTGCCATTGCACATAACATATGTCAGGAGATCAGAGAACAACTTTTTGGAGTTGATTCTTTTACTTTATGCGGATTCCAGGGATAGAGCTCAGAACCAGGCCTGCATGGCAAGTACCTCTACTCGCTGAGCCATCTCCCCTAACCCAAGAAATTGGTTTTTAAACAACAAAAGTACATTATGTAAGTTTAAAAAATAATAAAGATCAGTTTTACTTTTAATTTGTTTAATTTTATTAGATTCACTTCTCAAATTACTACAGCTTTAATGAATATGCTTATGCACCTAAGTTTGAACCAAGAGTTATAAGATTTCTTGTGTGCTCTCTAGGCATAAGAGAACACATAAATGATTCAAATATGTTAAATATTCTATTTTTGCCTGAAAAGTTTTATTAAGCTCCAGGAAGCATGTTGGTACAATATTGAATAGGATTAGAAATTTGCCATGATAAAAGTATAATGAAACAGCCCATATTACAAAGTACAAGGTGTTCTGTCTTTGCTGCTTCCCACATTAAAATAATCTGATTTATATAATCACACAACAGCAAGGCTTATCTCAGTCCCTCTAAAGCAGAGAACCCGCATTTGACTTTCCATTCTTTCTAATTTAACCAGTAGCCACACTTATGTATATGACACTACAACAGCTACTACATTGTACAAACTTGGAACTGTTTTAATCATATCAAAATGTTTATGAAGTGTTTTCCCGTATAATTTCTGGAGTCCAACATTGTAGAAAATATTTGTGAAAGTCATTTATGATTGTGTATGTCTCAACTGTGACCCAGTGAGGAATTTTTCACAGAAATAAGCATTTTGAAATAAGAACCTTTAACAATCATTTTAGTTGAGGAACATTTAAGTAATTTTCTAGGAGCATCTCATTTAGAAAATTTCCACTGTACATTTGTTATGTGAATCTACCAAAATTATCAATGCACTACTGGGCATGAGTTAAAAAAAATTCCTCCACAAATGCTGAACTTGAAACAATACAGACACATTATAATGTCAATTAAATAAAATTATATAAATTATATATAAATGTGCCTGAGCATTAAGATGAACTGCTTATCTCCTGTGACTACCTATTAAGAATTTTGTGTCATTTTGTATGGTTTTGTTTTTATATAATTGCTAATAATAACTTGTATGTTTATAGATCTTTGAGAGTGTAGTTTGCATTAAAGTGGAAGACATAAGAATGGCACTAGCAATTACTTAACTGTTGGTTGGGGAATCTTAGCATTTCAGAATTAATTCATTGCTGTTCCACAGGGTGGCAGTAATACAGTGTGGAATAGGAGTGAGCCCGCATGAAGTCCAACAGCACAGAGCTCACAGTGTCTCATCCATCTGCATGCACTGCAGAATGTGCGATGCTGGTGCTGTTGAAAGTAGAAGTCTTCCTGTATAATTAGGCAAAATGTGCAAAGTAAAGACAAAGACAGCAATGAGATGTTGCCTGGAAGTGAAATAATTTAGATATTGACATTGAGTTTGTAATTCTTGACATTTTAGTAACTACTGGGAGAAAAAAAATAGAAAAATAACACTACTATAAATGTCTACAGCATGACAAGTTAAAATTTAAAAAGGGGGGGCAACAATTAAACATTTATAATATTTATATTGTAAATGGTCTGGTCTGTTAATGCAGTTTACCTTTAAACAGGAGAGTAGTGGGGGGGGGAGAATGAGGCATAGAGGTTTAGCACATTGAAAACCTGAAATTAAAATGCAGCAGAGTATACACCTCTCAATATACTCCTCTGATCCCAAATTCCTGAGTTTGACCTCGATATGCTCTGTGTAGGCAAACATGAAGTTGGGTGAAACTATTGTATTAAAACAAATAAGGCAGTAAGTATTTCTTGCTGTTTTCTTACTTTAAATTAAAGGTTTATTTGGACTATTTGAATGATAACATCTCTCAAAATAATTAGGCAGTGTGGGTCTAAGTATAGGCTCCATGTTATTAGAAATATAATTCACTTAGTCTTATTCACTTAATTCTTTACACTGAAAAGTATCTTATGGAAAATATTTTACCATAATCCTGTTGGGGAATGGAAGGAACTAGATACAGCTGTGCTTTAATTGACTATGTGAGGCATGCCTTCAAATGTCAGCTATGAAGGGCATGCCAAGTGCTGATTCCTTAAGGTATGCCAGTTAAATTGTATTTTACTTAGGGTGATCAACATAAAAACATTTCCATTAGGAGTAGGTACAACTGTGTAAGTAGTAACATGACTTTGAAGTGCATAAGCAGCCCCCTAAATGACCCAATTGAAAATGCATATAAAATGAAATCACTGTTTGTTTGATTGAGTTGTTTTCCTGTGTAAAAGGTGAAGATCAGGCAGGAGGGAAGGAGTGCATGCCACCTTCTAGGTCTCATCATTACCCTTGTAATTTTTAAAATTATTTTTATTTTTTAATTTTATGTCTATGGGTGTTATGCCTGCATGTAAATGTACCCATGCCATGCAGTTCCCAAAGAGGACTGAAGAGGGGCTTGGATCCCCTGGAACTGAAGTTACAGATGGTTGTTGACTGCCATGTGGGTGCTTGGAATTGAACTCGGGTCCTCTGCAAGAGCAGCCAGTGCTCTTAACCACTGAGCCGTGTCTCCAGCCCCCATCATAATTTTTGAGTGACTAAAATTCAGATATGAGCTAGATCTCGTGGTTCAAGTCTTGAAATCTCAGCACTATGAAGACTAAGGTTGAAGGATAACAAGTATGAGACCAGCCTGGGCTACATAACATGGTCTGGTCTCCAAATGAAACAGAACAGAAAGATGTACCCTCCAAATTACCTACTATATTACTTCCTAAGGCAAACCCGGATTACTCAAAGTGTGGCTCAGATAAAGTCTTGCAAGTGAAACAGTAGCATCCCCAGTGTGTTTGTTTTCCAGCAAGGATTATTATGCTAGATGTGGCTCAGGCCAATAGAAGAAAAGAAAGAGAGGTGAAAATATCTTTGAGATTTTCTCAAGAACAGTGTGCAAGGTGTAATACTGATTTTAAAAATCAGAAAATGTCCATTCAGGTTGGGGAAGTGTCTCAGTTGGTAAAGTGCCTACTGCTCAAGAACAAGAGGGGCCAGAGGGATGACTCAGTGGTTAAGGGCACTGGCTGTTCTTTCAGAAGCCTTGGGTTCAAATTCCATCTCCCACATGGGAGCTAATAACTGTCCCTAACTCCAGTTTCAGGGGATCCAACACCATTTTTCTGGTCTCCATGGGTACTGTAGGACACTGATGCACTTACATACAGGCAGACATTTGACTCATACACATAAAATAAAAATAAATAAATCAAAAGAATTTTTTAAAAAGAATGTGAGGACCCGAGGGGCTGAGGACATGGCACGGTGTTAAGAGCATTGGGTGCTCTTGCAGATGACCCGGGCTTGGTTCCCAGAAACCACATGGCAGCTAACAACTATTTGTTACTCCAGATCCAGGGGATCCAATGCCCTCTACTGGCCTCCTTGGGCATTGTAAACATACATGAACTTACATGCAGACAAAACACTTATATGTAACATAAAAATATATAAATCAGGGGCTAGAGAGATGATTCATTGCTTACCTGCATTGGCTGCCCTTGCAGAGGACCCTAGTTCAGTTTCCAGCATGAACATGGGGACCAACAACCATTCTTAACTCCAGCTCAAGGGGATCCAATGCCCTCTTCTGGCTTCTTTGGGCATTGCATGCACAGATACTCACATGCAGGCTAAACACTCATATACAAACAAACAATCAAACAAACAATAAATAAGCAAAAAATAAATAAATAAATTTTAAAATTAAAAAATGAACAAGGACCTGATATCTTCAGTACCAACATAAAAAGTATGACATGCCAAGCACACATATGTAATCCCAGTGCTGAGGAGGCAGAGATATAAGGATTCCTGGGGCTTGATGAGCAACCAGTCTAGCCACAACAGTGAGGTCCATGTTCCGTGAGAGACCCTGCCTCAAAAGCAACTGAAGATGATACCCAATGTCAACTCTAACCTTGACACATATGTGCACACATGGGCATGTGCAACCCCCATGCACACAAAAATGGCTAATCTATACCAATTAGAAAAAAATACGTTTAGATAGTTATCATTGTCACTCATCTTTTTGTAGTAAATCTAACATCATAGTCATGTTTCTTAGATCTGATTTCTGAAAGCAGCAAAACCATCACTTAATTTACTTGTCTTAAGTAACTAAAGGTAGAATGAACTCTGTACACATTCTTACTGCCACATGTCTGGAATATAGGGAAGTGTTTTTGCACTGATTGGATAGGTAGGTGAGATGTTTTAACCAGGTGGGACTTGAGCTGGACCTGAAGGAAGCATTTTTGTTTGTTTGTTTGTTTGTTTTGTTTTGTTTTGTTTTGTTTTTTAACTAATAAGACCACAGTCACTGTCAAGGCACTGAGCATTGTGTCAGGCAGCATACAGGACACCCCAGTGTTCATTCAGCTTGGTGGCTGGAATCCACGCTCAGAGCACGCTGTGTGGCTTCCCTTTACTGCTTTCTCAAATTCTTTACAGGGCTCAATTTTTGTCTTGCTTTACTGATTTCACTTCCCAAAATTGCTTTTTTTTTTTTTCTACTTTAGCAATTTTGTTTTGCCATTCAGTTGAATTTTACTCAACCTAATGGATACCTCCTCTTCAACACATTCAGGTCCGTGTATTCACGTTTTCTGTTGGCCAGCACAATTATGACAGAGGACCTATTCAGTGGATGGCATGTGAAAATAAAGGTAAGAGATCTGTTCCTCTTAACCACATTTTATTAGAAGAAAAATATATTTTCCAATTACAATTAGGTTTTCATTGGTGTTTAAAATAATCTGAATTATTGTTCTCATTTGCTTTCTGTTGTGATAAACACCACATACAAAAGCAACATGGGGTGGAAAGTTTATTACATCATCCAGCAAAGCCAGGACAGGAGCTCAAGCAGGAACCTGAAGGCAGGAAGTAAACCAGAGACCATAGGGAAATGCTTCTTACTAGCTTGCTCTTTGGTTCTCAGAGTCTTAACTACCTTTCTTCTTCAACCCTGGCCAACCCTGCTAGGGATGGCACTACCCACAGTTGTCTAGGCAGTCCTGCATCAATTAGCACGAAGAAAATGTCCACAGACATACCCACAGGGGAATCTGATGGAGGCAACTCTTCAACTGAGATTCCCTTTTCCCAAGTTGACAATTAAGGTTATCTATCACAAGAAGTAACTTTAATAGGCATGGAGTAAAAATAAGATTCAGAACATGCTTTCTATATAAAAACACACAACAAATTTAGACCTATTCAGGCATCTAATCATAATATTGAAAATTCATGAAAAGATGTATTATATTGAATGGTACTTAAGATATATAACAGACGTGTGCATATATTTTCTCTGAGTGACTAAATTACTGTTTTTGAAAACTGACTCTTGCCTTCCTTGATATTTCAATTTCATGCCATGAACCACTTCTGCCTTTTGTACTCAGAAAAAAAAAAAGATGTCTTTTGAAGAATATACTGTGGTAAATATAGCACTAAGAACTTGAATATATTCCAAAGTTTACTTAGAAAAATACATGCATATAATAATTATGTAATCTATCTGTCCCTTTAAGAATATCTTATAAAATATTTTAATAGTTCTAGCTCCCTACTGCCTTGTAGATGACAATACTTGTTTTATACTAGTTCAGAAATATAGCAAAATACCTTACAAAAGTCTGTAAGTTTGTTGACAATATTTTTAATCAAAAATTTTCTGAATTCATCATTCTTATTTAGATTTTAGTGTTTGCTCAAGTTAGAAGGAAAGCTATCTTTTTTCTCCTACACAAACATGAAGTGATTTTATGGCCCTTTATTATAATGTAATACTTATAAAAATATGTATGTGCATTTCAGGTTATTATTATGAAATTCCCTCTATTGGCGCAATAAGAATTAATACTCAGGTATGGTTATTTAAAAGTTGTTGAAATTGCTTTTTTCAAAGTTAAGATTACTTTCCTGGAAAAAGATGATCATTTTCCTGATTTAAATAAGATCAACATGGAGAAAATTGATAAAAATAGAAAAAATAATTATATAATTACATTTGTATAAAATGATACATAATGTGGTAATGTGTTGGTTTTGTTTCATTCAACAAGCAAAATATAAATAAAATTATGTGCATAGTATTCTCAATAGTTAAAATGGCATTTAAAATAGCTGGATATTGTGGTACACACCTTAATCCCAGAACTAGGGAGGGGAGACAGAGACAAGCAAGTGTCTTTGAGTACCAGGCCGCCCTGGTCTCCAGAGTGAGTTCCAGCTCAGTCTACTCTACATAGTAAGACCCTGCCTCAGCCGCACTCCCCAAAAAGAAGGCATAGAAAATGAATACAATAAGATTTATTAATGGTCCCATGTTATCTTCTGTTATTCTTTTGTAATCATTTACATGACTCTTTTAACCATATAGAACATTAAAAAGTAATTATTCTGGACAAATTATGCAAATCTTAGTTAAGGCTACAATTCTTACCCCAAACCTCTACTAGTCTGTTTACCTGTTTAAAATTAAACTTAGCATGGGATGAATTATTGTTGTTGTTTTGGTTTGGGGATTTCTGTTGTTTTAGTTAGATGAATTTTTAAAAATATTCCTTCTAAATTACATTTCGTAGAATTTAGTGATTTTAATTCAAATATTCATTATTTTAAAATGTTTGAAAATTACTATTTAAAAATAATCGCTCAATTTTAAACATGGCTGAGCATGTACAAAATACACCAAGTCAAAATTTAGGATGCATAGCATGGCCTTCGTGGAAGTGCTCAGTGCACACTGAGTGGTAAAATGAAACAGAGGCTGCATGTGAGTCCGGTGTCTGGATTTGGCACAGTGTTTCATTTATTTTTGATATGTTTAAATGCAGTTTTGAATTTCAGCTAAACAGTTTGTGATATGAAAGCAAGTATGTGGTTGTTTTATTATTTCAAATTTGTGCAATTTCACACAGTATATCACCGAACCTTAAATAGTTTAGATCAACATGAAGCAATTCATAAGAATATATTTCACTTATCATTGACTGTTCTTTGAGGAACAATGTTCCTATTGGCACTAGAAAACAAAAACTAAAGGACAGATATTGTGCAAATAGATAATAGAATTATTTAGATAGACAACATGGAATGCCCCAGGCAGATTATTACTTTGATTAATGATTTGATTCCATATTCCTTTTTAATTTTTAACTTTCCAACATTAGAGTTATTTTTAAACATAGTACTCCTCTGAGGTTTTGTTGTTGTTGTTGTTCTTATAACCTTTCCTTTGTATAAATAGGAATATCTGGATGTTCTGGGAAGACCAATGGTTTTAGCAGGGGACAAAGCTAAGCAAGTCCAATGGACGAATGTGTACTTGGATGCACTGGTAAGAGAGGATGGCCTGCTCAACCAAAAACTGTCATAACAAAAACACCCAGGTGACATTTCTTCTTTGTAGGTGGCATTTCCCTTTTCCTAATCATTAAATCCTTTCTAAAATTCCTGCTTTGTAAGCTTCATTGCTAGAATTTAGATGATGTGTAGGAATTCCTTGATATGTATAAAGAGAACCACACATGTATAGTTTTAAGTTTTTCTTGATCCACTGAAAATACGGGTTTTCTAACCTAGAATATGAATATATGGGAATTTCAGCAATTTTTGATCTTTTGAGATAAGAAGATAGTGCTGAATATTGTATAAATAATAAACAATTTTTCCAGATTTTGAACACAAATTTTGAAGAACACGTTTTTAAAGTAGATGTCAATTGGTAGCTACCTGAACAATGTACCCACCTGTAGCTTGACTTCTCCAAACTCTGAAGTATGTTTAGCTAACTAGGCAGAACTCTGATCCCACACTGAAATCATTACATATGTAGTCACCTCTTCATAGAATCACTGGCTTTAAGTTCAGACTCAGACATTTTTATGGAAATATGACATTGAGGTGATCAAATCTGATTTGAAATAACATACACATATTAGATTGTCCATTATGCACTGGCCATCTTAGCACTGGTGTTCTATCATCGTATTTTAAGTAATAATTTTTGTCTGGGAGTGATTTTGTTCTGTGCAGGTCTCTTGAACATGTATACAGACAGACTTTTTTAATGCAGAAAGAGTTTATTATAGCAATTCTTCCTCGTGGGGAAGTAAAGGTGCAGGGGCCTAAAGTAGCTGATCACAGTATGTCCACAGTCCAAAGAAGAGAGCAGTGGGTGCTTGTACTAAGTTCCCTATCTCCTGCCACTGGCATATAAGAGATAGTATCCTGGGATGGGGATGGTGCTAAACGTACTATAATGATGGAATGGCTCCATTAACCACACAGCACAAATTATCCAGCCCAAGTAAGCAATAGAAATGAATTTGAAAATTTTTTGTTTTATTTTTGCTTTGCTGACATGAACGTTATTAATACTTATAATACCTAAGATTGGATCCTTTACCTAATCTTAATTTGAAGATGTATTCATCATTTACCAAAGAAATTTACTAGAGATAATCAAAACACTAAACTGAAAAGCAAGTACTGATTCGGTAATGCCCTTTTCCCTACTTGGAGTCCAATTCTATGCTTCTCCTACTCCTCTAAATGCAATGATGAACCCAAAGGACAAGATGCACCCCATTAGCATGACTTATCATTTGGTTCTTACAAAATAAACACACACAGGAAGTTAGAGGGAAAATAGGGACTATTAGTAGCAGCCTTGCATGCTAAGAAAGATAAAGTGAAGCTTGCTTACCTCAAGGCCTAGCTGAAATTACTGTCCAGAGTTCCTTCTTGACGTTGCTTATTTACTTAAGGTCACATGGTCATCTGCAGCTATGACTAAGATGTTTCGGTTGTCCAAATCCATCACAGGACAGCACATGATAGGAGTCCATAGTTAGGCCCTGCTGGATTTCTTATGGCCAGAAGTTCACTAGCCAGAAGGTCTGTGTTGCTGGCAAGGTTCTTACTGATAGCACAAATGAAGTTTGGAGGAAATGTTGATTTTTAATGTTCCGTTGTACAAACTGAAACAAAATGAAGAAAAATGGGGCACTCAAGTCAGATGTTCAAAAGACACAGAGAGTGTTCTTTCTCTCTACTGATTTGAAAAATAAATGACCCCTCAAGACCTCCTAGCTGTTCATTTAGTATCATTGCACGCAACAGATTCAGAATATCTGTCATTTGAATCATCAGTTTATTAGCAAGGAAACTTGTATTTCAAGAACAAATGTGATAACTATAATGTGAAAAATTCAAAGACCTCTGGCACTTCAAAAGAGAGAATTTTATATTTTGGATTAGATTGGGGGTAGTTAAAAAGCGTTGACATTTTAGCTGAATGTAAATACAAGTTATGTTTCTCTAATTCATGGTAAAGAAACAAAACGACACAAAAGCATCATATGTTAGGATCCTTGGGGACTCCTGGTGTAGGAATAATACAAACATGTTGTCACCCATAGAGACACCGGACATAAAGACAGAAACAAGAGTACAATGCTGTGGAGAAATCATTTCATTTGGAAGATAAAGTGAGGCTCTTTATATAAAAAGAGAAAGAGGAGGAGTTGAAAATAATTATCAAGCTCTTGAAGGCAGAAGTCTTTTTTTTTTCTTTCTGTTCTATAGAGATGTGTGCAATACCCAAAACAAAGAATCCACTTTGGGGTCTAGTTGTTAAGAGGGAGGAAATAAAAATTAGGCACCTATGAGTTCATCCATGGTTGACTTGAATTTAACTAGTCAGTAATCTAAGATCTCATTTCAGGGTACCTATTACTATTTTTACAAGCATATTTTGGTAATATGTACAAATTCAACAGTGATACACAGACAAAAGACAAAATCAAAGTATACCTTGGCCTTTGGTATTATTTTTGAGATTGTGATAATTTATAGTGTAAATTGTGACTTAGAAAGCTTACTAAAAGTGATCACCAAGTTATGTTTTTGTATTCTAGTTTTTTAAATTTATCTTTAATCTCACTTTATTGAAGTAGAAAGTTTTTGTTGGAAATATTTATTTGCATAAATGATGTTGCCTTTGCGTGTCCTTGTGTGGGACTACATAGAACTTATTTGTACATCCACACATACCTCATTCTGGAATTTTATGTGTTCCAAATAATTTGGTATTTGTTATACTGGAAACTTTTCAATGATCTGCACCCCCATTCTCAGTCAGTTTCCATTGTTTTTTATCTTCCTGTGTACGGTTGTGAAGAAGCTCCTTAAGATATTATAGCTATAGCACCAAGCTGTTTCTCAAGTCAGAATAGAACTTGTAAGATTTGGGTTTGAAATTGTTTTCCAGAAGATTACTAATACTTTCTCACAATGGCAAATTGAAAATGTTCTTGAGTGAATTTTGTGAAATTATACTTTGAAATAGTGTTAAATATATCTATCTTCTACCTATCTAATGCATACATATATGTGCATATATATGTGCAGAGATAATGGCCACAGATGTCAGTAATAAAAAAGCAGACTTTGACTTTGATGAATTTCCACAGAGTCAATGTGTGAAATTATGTGTTGATTAAGAGGATCGCACTATGTCTTTTATAACAAACTGCTTCATAACTGGATTTTCATATTTGATGTTTGCAGTTGGCCTTTCCATGCCATTTTAGTTTTCCCATAAGTAATATTCATTTTGTGAGCTATTTAAAAGTAATATTGTCTTTTTTGCACATCACAGTATTCATCATAGACTATTCTAGAAATTTAGTATCAATAGCGCGTTTCTTATTTGAATTGTATTATTCAGCTAAACATTTGTGATATAGCATGACATCTTTGACTTAGGGCATAAAAATCTAAAAATGAATCTACAAAATTAGCTTTTTGAAAATCATTTAAAGTGGTATTTTACTACTAGTCTTCTTTGGAAGCACCTGATAGTATGTGAACTGTCACTGTGGGAAAAGTGTGGAATAAGCTCAGTTACTGGAATGTTGCAAGCTATTAAGCATTTGTGTAAATTGATTTGCTTTATCTGTAAGGCTTATTAGTCATTGCATAGTTCGAAGCTGTTTAATAAGTCTATTATTTCTAAGGCATTTTGATTGATTTTTTTAAATGCACTTTAAAGATATTCAAAATTAGTCACTAATATTCTGTGACTCTTTACAAGGTAATTGTAAAATGAAGTTTCCATTTTCAAAGGTTGATACAGTAGGACAAAGTTCAAATTGTTACTTTCATTCTCCTTTTCTATCCATCTATTTTTAGGAACTGGGACTTGTCATTACTGGAACTCTTCCTGTCTTCAATGTAACTGGCCAGTCTGAAAACAAGACAAACTTAAAGGTTAAAAGTTAATTGATAAAATTAATAGTAATAAATGATAAACAGTGATGTGGAAACTCAATGTGGATAAGATATTTCTATAAGGAAATACATATGATGTAATTGTCTTATGAGGCCACAGGTCAATGGCAACAATTGTCCTTGTGATAACCACCTGGGAAAAGGAAGTGCAGGTCAAATCCTTGTGGCCCTAGAGTCAGGATTCAGCTTATTAATATGGTTTAGCTGTACCCTGATGAAAAACCAAATCAGATGGCAAGTAATGGCATGACAAATGGACAATAATACTGTGTGCATGAATTTTAAAATGCATTGGAGATATTCACAAAATTAGGAAAAAAACCTACAAAAACAAAAGCTATGTTTCTGTTTAAATCAATACTGATAAATACCTTTATTGACTCCTTACTTTTCCAGTTCCCAAACATAGCTTTTTAGCCACAACTTTAGGATCTAAGTAATGAGTTTCTTTTTTATCCTAATTTTTAAGATTTGGTGAAAAATATTTAATAAACATGCTCTATTTCTATAGCACTGAATATTGTCATTGTATAAGAGGCTATCTACTTAAAATATGTAATTATCAAACTTATCTTGTGCCCATTTTGTTTATTATTTCTCAAACTCAATTTGAAAATAGAATTGCGTGATGGAGAATGATGTAAGATAGTAGAAGTTATGGTCTTTTTAATGCTAAATACTTACAATGTGAGTGGTAGTGCTGATGTAAGGGGATATTTATTTTCAGTTTGTGGTTCAATGAAACTTGCTGCACTTAATCATTGTTTCTTTAGTTTTAATTAATCTCAGTTGGATGTCTCATTTTAATAATGTAACCCTATTTCTCTTTGGGGTCCATTGCAATCTTAAATATCTGAGTTCTAAACTTGGAAATTCATAAAGGAGTAATTCTCTCTGCTTTTCATATGTTTTAAACTCTCTGTATGCTCTTTCTGTAAAATTGCTTCCATTTACTGGCTTCATTTGGTCCAGGATTGATTCTTAACAAAAGAGCATAGTTGTTGACCTGACTCATAATCCATCTGCACTAACAGAATTTAAAACATTTTTGTAATGAGTGACTAGATTTTATAATTTTCTTGGTAAGCACATTTTAAATTTATTTAATATTCTATGGAATCCTATTGAAAACACATTTCAGAACACAAATTTTAAATGTCATCTTCATCTTTATTTTACATGAATAATATAGGAGCAATTTGGCATGTACCTTCTTTGAGTCGGTACTAAAACCATTGCGATGCCAATGGTTTACATTGAGAAGTTGCTAACAGAGTGCTTGGGGATTTGTTACCAATAAGGGCACATTTTGACGAATCTCTAAGTAGACCATCATGTTATTTCTTAATTGTAATATTCCAGTCAGTCCATACACAGCTGCAACTGTTGAGTATACATTAACATATGAAAAATATGAGGATTAAAAGATAGAAAAAGTATCATAGTGTGTATGTAGTCATTAAATTCTCATTTGCATTAAAGAATTAGTGTGATAAAGTTATGGGAACAATCAAAGCTGACAGTCTTCAAAAATTGACATTAAAAGTTCCTTATCTGACATACAGAGTGTGTGTGTGTGTGTGTGTGTGTGTGTGTATGTGAGTGTGTATGGGTTTTTTGAGATAGGGTCTCACTATGTAGCCCTGGTTGGCCTGGAACTCACTATGTAAACTAGGCTGGCCTCAAACTACAGAGATCTGCTTGTCTCTGCCACTTGAGTGTTAGGATTCAGTTTATATTTTGATGTGTATTCACAAATGTGAAAATCATTGGTTATCACAGCAAAAGGATAAATATACACTGGTTCAGGAACATAAATTTCTGGTATAAAGTAACTAACTTTGCCATCTCCTTATAGAACCAGTTGATTCTTGGTGTGATGGGAGTTGATGTGTCTTTGGACGATATTAAGAGACTGACTCCACGTTTTACAGTAAGAGGCAATTTATTCTTTTGGCTGCCCTTTCTATTTCAGAGCTTTGTACCACTACAGCTTATCCAGAAAACACTTAAGTACATCTGAAAATCTTGATGCTCTCCTATTCAAGGATGTCACAGTTAAAAAGTGTAAAGACACCATATTATTCTTTAGTATCCTGTAAGACTTCTATATAATAAATAAACTTTGCAAATATTTAATGTGGATTTCAGATTGTGATTCAGGGATCTCTAAGCTCTTTTTCCTCCTTTGTTCAGCTGTGCCCCAATGGCTATTATTTTGCAATTGATCCTAATGGTTATGTCTTGTTGCACCCAAATCTTCAGCCAAAGGTATGTATATAATTTGTTTATTGTAATTAGTGTTTTTTGTGTAATTAATGACAACTATCAATAGGATTGTCACTCTAAAACTCATTTTTATAGCCTTAAAGACAAAAGAAAAGTGTAGTGTGCCTCCCTTAATAGATGATAAGGTTACAAAGGACAACACATGAAAATCTGAAAACAGGCTTCATTTTCTCTTAAAAATTCAGCTGAAATAATATTCTGTTCTGAGGCAGCCCACCTTGTGAACTCCACTTTCCCATCTGTGACATTAAGGCTCTAGGCGTCCAGACATGGTGTGAACTCGATAAAGTTTAGTGATGTTCTTTCTACCAGGCCACATTTACCATGTACTCTCTTCCTACAACTTTCTCCACTTTCTATCTCCCAGACTGAGGGACTTTTTAATCACTGTGTTTATCCAGAATTCATAGAATTCAGTAGCTGACCTATTTATTCTAATCTTTATGCCTCCTTTCCTAAAACAAACTTTTTTCACAAAATATGTCATTTGATTTCAATTTTCATTAATGCTTATTAAAGCATTACTAGAAAAACATTTATCTAAATATAAAATTACAAAAATCTTATATAATTGCATTTTTATAAACATCTTCAGTTTATCATTTAACTTTGAAGACTAATCTGAAGGTACTTTATCCTTTGTAAATTCTTGCATACTGCCTCCTTTTCCCAGGGTATGGATATTAAATGTTAGTCATATATCAGAAACACATTTTACAAGCACACATGAATTTCTGACATTTAAATATTGTTCAGATCAATAATTAAGAACTACTGACACAGGGTTGTGGTGGTGCATGCCTTTAATCCCAACACTTTTGAGGCAGGCAGATCTCTGTGAATTCGAGACCAGGCTGGTCTACATAGTGAGTTCCAGGTCAGCTGGGGTTGCATGGAGACCCTGTCTCAAAAAGACCAAAAAGAAAAAAAGAAAACTACTGACACTGAGTTCAAAAACATGAACATTTTAATCCTCATTCTGAAATGTATTTTCATGTGATCATTTTACATTATGTTAAATGTATTATTTTTATAGAGACATGCCCTGAGTGCTTTCTAAAGTCACTAAAGTATCGCAGTTCTTTAAAAGGTGGCATGTTAAATTATTCTTTTAAATCATAAAGTGTTAAAATTTTTAAGTATTAGTGTTAGTTTTTGTATATCTAGTATATTTTAAATTATACCTCCTACTTAAATCTAAAGTCAATAAAAGTTTGTGCTACAGCAAGAAAAGCTGTAGTCTATAACCTCCCCTTAAGAACTAATATACATCATAGACAAAGCATTTAAAATGAAAGCAGTGCATGTATGATGGAGAAACAGCACTCATCATCTAGAAGTAAGTTCACTCAGATCACCTTCACAGTGGAATGAGTAGTCATAGTCTGAAACAGGTTTTCCATTCTGTATTCCTCTAACAGTGGTCAAAAATATCTAATTACTACTTTAATGATGCTAATGTATATTTGAGTAGTTTGAATAATCAGTTCACCAAAATTAGTAAAATCGTAACGAAAATACAAATTTTATATAGATGTCTCCATTAAAAGCTCGTTGATTTTCCTCTGGATTATACAGTAAATATTTTCTACTATTTCATGTTAGAGTATTAAAGCAATCATATGATAATAACTATGATTAGTTTAAAAGATAGTCCAGTAAAACACTGTTTCAGTAAACTATGAAATAAGTCTGAATAATCAATGTACTGTTTTTTTCTGAAGTTTTTTCTTATACTTAAACACGTTTATGAATTTTCTTCACTAATGGGGTGAATATGATGATTTTTATTTTATAATACTATGTCCTACAAAGGTGTCTTCAGGAACCTCATAGAAGGATGATGTAGTATAAGATGATAATTCTAGACATTAAGTAAAGGCCAATAGAAAAATGCATGGCATACTATTGAAGCTAACCTTAACTCTTTTATCAGAACTCTGTCAATATAATTGAAAGAAAATAAAGTTATATTCATAGCACCCATTATTATTTAACAAGGTATAAATTTAATATTATGCAAGTATTACTGCATCAATGTTTCCTGATTTCTTCCTGATACTATACTATTATTACAAAATATTTTAGTGTAATTTTGTAGTTTGTAGAAGCTTATAAAAGGGCCTTTTAAGTAATCCAGAATATCAATCAATATATAAGTCACAAATTTCTTGTATTTCTGTTTTCTATGGATTTGTCATTTGTTCAAAGTGTATGCCCCTCCCCACCACCATGACCACATTTTAACAGTGAATTATCTATTCTGGTTTATCCCACTTTTTTATTTCTCATTAAAATAACTATATTGTTAGATACTTCATTTTGACAAACTCTGATAGATATCAATTATATAGACAATTCTGTGTAATGTACATCCTGGAAGTCAATTTTTGAAATAAATCTAGTGTTATTACAGAATGCTCTTTTAGATTAATAGATAGGACCTGTTTTTATTTTTTCTGATAACAAAGGCAAAAAATTTCAAATGTTCAAGATGTTTTAATATCCTGTAATATTTGTTCATTCCAGATGCTATGAGAAAAATAAACACAGACTAATGGCTTCTGAACAATAAAAACTTATTTTTCACTTTTTTCAGTTATAAGACATGCAGGACTAAGGCATGTGTGTTCCTTCCGGGCAGACAACTTTTCCCTCTAACTGTACATGGCAGAGGGGGCATGGGGCAGGAAGTCCGGCTTCTTTTATATGAATACCAATCCATCATGAGGGGTGTACCTCCATATCTTAATTACCTCTCAGGCCTGATCTTCTTATATGGCCCCATCACTGAGGGAGGACTGTTACCAAGGAATTTGCAGAGGTCATTTCCAATATTTATATTTTTCTCATTTAAGTCATACACATTTCAACAATTTGTATTTTTCATTTATTTATTTATTTATTTATTTATTTATTTATTTTTATTTGTATGAGTGTTTTCCCTGCATGTGTGCATGTGCACCATTTCTGATCCCCTGGAACTGGAGTGACAGACAGCTGTTAACCAGTATGTGGATGCTGGTAAAAGAACCTGGGTCCTTTGCAAGAATAGCCAGTGCTCTTAACCACTGAGCCATCTCTCCAGACCCAAAACTTTGTATTTTTCAATTTTTTTAACCAAGTACATTTACCTGTGGCAAACTATGTCTCCCATATCTCTACTTTTTATATACTTAAGGAAAAATGGGAAAAAAGAATTCATTTAAAATGATTTGTACTAGCATTAACATTTTTGTCATCATGAACTGTATGATACTTACCAAGTGCATTGAATTGTAAATATGTCACTGGTTCCATTTCTAATCACAGAAATGCCTGACTAAAGTGGACTAGAGGATAGGACTCTTGTTATGTTGGTATGTAGGATAATGTACTATTTCTCTGTCACTTCAGCCTATTGGTGTAGGTATACCAACAATTAATTTAAGAAAAAGGAGACCCAATGTTCAGGTAACTGTGAATGAAGGTAGACTTAGAAGCGCTTTCAAATTTGCCAAATCAGTTGGGCTCAAGCTTCTGTTCTTAAAGCTTATAAATAAAGGCACATTCCCTGACATTCAGGCTTTCAGGGCATGAGGTGGGAATGAGCATCCTTTCTCAATAAGCTCCAGAAAAGTGCATTAATCATGGTAAAGGGTGTGCATTGGCTGAAAGATTGCTAAGGAAATTTATCTAATAATAATGTTGATCAGAGTAATCAGAATGAGATGGCTTCTGATGAAGAAATTTGTTATTAAATTTTGTGACATTAATCATATCTATGTGTTCCTAACAGCGTGTTGTTAGATTGATTTCTAAGTGCAAATAAAGACACAGTTCCTATGTTATAAATTCCATAAACCAGATATTTTTAGCTACATTGTTCTTCTTATTTATACAGTGCAATTTTTGGTTTATAAGTTAGAGAATTTTCCTTTCATCTAATTAAAAGTGTTCCAAATTGGAAACATATAGTACAAATCTTTTGTTTGGCAAACTATTACAAACTCATCTTTTCCTTGCTAATTACAAACCTATATGCTTACTTCTGTAGGCTCATTATAGGTTCTCAGCCTAAGAGGACATTTTCCACAGCTTAATCAGAGAATTTCAAAATCTTAGAGAAAGTTCACGAATATTATATCTTTCCCTTTTCAAGCTACCACTTCCTTTTTAAAATTTGATGACGTTCTAGTGAAGAGGCAGTATGACGTTAAGAGATTCTTAAGTGTGGAATAGTGAGCTGAGATCCTCTTTGGATATATTGATAGTCAACTCTGCATTCTTGAGCAGTAAAATAAACCAATCCTTGTTCTCTGTCCTACATAGGAAATTAAATATATGTATTTATTGCATGCCCCATCTCATGAAAGTTCTGATTGAATTTAGCCTCTGAATAGTTTGTAAAGCTTCCCAGGTGTGGAGAAACTCTGGGCTAGTGGAAGCTTTAGTTCCCTCCCAGGTCTAGAACTCTAAGACAAACTGAATCTCATGTTGATGCATCTGAAGGTCTTCAGATCTTTTATGATTCTGGTAGAGGTTAAAATTATCTGTATGTCTTTCTTAGTCTATGAAATTGTTTTGTTACTTTCCTTGCATGTTACTTTTGTATTATCTTAAATTATAGTTTTTGTACTCGTGTGCATTTTAGTGAATTTTTATTTTACCATAACCTCAAATATTGCATGTAAATATTATGACATAATTACAAAATAAGCAACCTGAATAATGGTTTGTTTTACTTTTGGTTTCATTCTAAGCAAACTCCAAATGACAAACTAGCAACCACATAAGACTTCTCAATTTGGGGAGCATTTTTAAACTATGAGATATTATATTAACACTAACTTGTACTTATTGCAAATTTAAAATTTGTTAGCATCACATACTCCTTTTGAGATTATGCTAGTTGAAACTCAAATTCATGAGAAATATTGGATATTGATTCTGTTTTTAAGCAATGCAATTTCAGGGATCTTGAGACTAAATAGATTTCTTAAACTCATTCTTTCTTAGAAGTCTGTGCTTTTCAATTTTCTGGTCCTTATAGAGATGAGAAATCATTTTAAAAACATGTTCTGCTAGATTGCCATTTGCCAATATATGTGATGCATAGACATTTTTCATTTATGATTTCATTTTCCTCTCTGTGTCTTTATATGTTGGATTGGGACATGATCTGCATATTGCCAATTCCTCCTGATAATGGCTCCTCCCTGCATGCTGTTTGGGGCTGGTCATGCTATGCATTATCCATTGCATGTAAGAAAAATATTCTTATTTCTGTTTTCATTTTATAATTTGATTGCCTTGACTTTGTTTTGCATTGAGTTTATTTAAATTTTAGTGCTTACTTGGTGTTTGTGTAAAGATGGTTTATTTCATGGGACCTTAAGAAATTCTGAAACATTATATTTAATTTCATGTGCTTAACAAGAAATCTCAATACTGATTTTTATTTTCATCTTGAATCCTCATTTCAAATATTTGCTACCAATGTAAAACCTATAGATCCAAACAGTGCTGTCTTGTCTTTTGGAAATTCCACTACTTTCTTTCAGTATTATAGAAACTTCTGATTGTAGTAACAGAGTTCTTAAGCAATGATTTTTTTTCCATTAAAAAAGACAGAGGTTGGGTACAGTGTCTTAGTGGTAGAGTGCTAGCTGAGCAAACATGAAGCACACAGCTCAATCCCCAGCTCCCTCCACCCCTAAAGAAGATACAAGGATCACCTCTAAACAGTTCAATTTTTTTTTTTTTTTTACTTAAAGAATCCTTATTCATCGAATGCCATGAGAATTTAAACTTCTGGTTATTTTAAATGGATTGTTCCCTGAAAGGAGGCATCTTTACATAATTATAACAGAGACAGATGCCATGTGAGGTACACTGCGTCAGTTTTCCATCTGAACATGATGTGCTCATTTAAATGTATTTTATCTACTGCTGTTGTCTTGGGAGGCATAGCCTCTAAAATGGTGATTAAAAACAGTGGCAATCTGAGTGTCTATTGACGCTCACGTTAAAAATTCAGAGACCCTGTAATTAATCTAACACAGACTGCATTTACTTCTGCTATCTAATTAGTAGTCAAACTTATCTTAATCCAAAATTTTACAATTATTAAATCATACATGTCTGTTATAACTTTATTCTCCCGAACTATAGAACTGTAACATGCCATGTTTCATTATTTGCCAGGTGTTATAAGGAAATGAGTCTGGTTGTCTATCTACCAAATAATGTAATAATTTCTCTTTGTGATTAAGAAATTAAAATAATATGAGATAAATTGACCAGGATAACAGTACACCTGATATATGACTAAATAATCTATCCTCATCCACAGTCAACTTTCTTACATACCAATAGTCAAAGACAGTGAATGTTAAAGCAGGAAATACTGCTTAGTGAACAATAATTTCAGGTCTCTACCTGCTTCCAATTGACAGTTAATAAAAATTAGTCTACTGCACTTAAAAATCAATGCCTAGCTCTGAAAGAAGAAACCTTTATACAATTATCAATGTGTTTTAGGTAAGTAACTTTTATGGGATTAATTTATATCTAAATGTCCATCAAGTTATTCTTTACACAGCATCATTTTCTAGTGTTATGTCCTTAATTATTATTGTGTTCTATGTAGAACCCCAAATCTCAGGAGCCAGTCACGCTGGATTTCCTTGATGCAGAGTTAGAGAATGATATTAAAGTGGAGGTAAGTGGACGCAACAAGACTGAAGCAGACACAGGCCTGAGGCCAGATTCTTCCATTCTGCAAGTATTTGCTGAGCAGAGGTTGGCGTCAGGCTGTCTCCTGGCTCACAGAGATGAATGTACTTTCTCTTTAAAAATGTGTACATTTGTCCTCATCCACTATTAATGAAGACATCATATTGAGAACGAATAGACATTTTAGGTTCTGTTTGGCTTTTTTCTTGCTCATTTTAAGGGTAGAGATATTTTAACTATTTTAGTACAGAAATAATAATTTCAATAAAAATTTTAAAGATGGATGTTGTTATGCAGTTGAAAGAAAAGTTGGAAAGGCTCCAACCACCTAACCACATGATATGCTACATGAGGAAAGCATCTGCCATGTTTGTCTTAGGACACTCAGCACATTTCTGTTTTAGTCCAACACCAAAATCACATGTCACTTCCCTTGCTGGGTTGTTTCATAACAGCAAAAGTGATCAGTTTAATAATAAAAATGACAATTATTAAGCTCATAGTTATCGCAGTGTATCCTGTAGTGTATGCTGGAATGCTTTAAGTTAGTAGTGGGTGTTGCAAAGTGTTGGGTATCATAAAGTTGAGCCAAGTAATAATGGTGATTTTGAGATCTGGCCTTTCACTCCTTCCGAGTCATCACAATATCTCATTTAGTCTCTCAATATCTCAGTTTCCCCTCAACATAGTGATTGAGTGAAATAATAAATAAGAAATGTTTAGCAAAAGACCTGCTTCATACTAAAGTTTTGTTATTTTTAAATACCTCATAATGGAGGCTAAACTTCCATAAACAGCTGCTATCTGCTTTTCACTTTCAGACTCAAAATATTTTAAGCAAAATTTCCTCATCCTGTAATTTTCGTATTTATCTTGTTACACCAAGTTTTTTCACTCATCTGTGGTTAGGAAAACCCAAGTGTAAATTACTGGAGATGTAAAAGGAAAAGTAAGTGAAAAGACATTCTGTGAGTTTCTGATAGACTAGAATAGTTTGTCAATAAACGTGACCTGAATTGTAAGGATTTGTAAAATTGTAAGGTGACCACACCAAGTTGTAAATCTTACTAGGTCTCTCTCTCTCTCTCTCTCTCTCTCTCTCTCTCTCTCTCTCTCTCTCTCTCTCCCTCCCTCCCTCACTCCCTCCAATACTTCAGGACAGCTGCATATGACAAATAAAAGTAAATTCTGGACGGCAAGTCAGGCATGGGGGCGTGTCTATAATCCTACCACTCCGGGGGTAGAGGCAGGAAGATAGCTGCAAGTTTGAAATCAGCCTGACCTAAAAAGGGTTTCTGGGGCTGCACAGTGAGATTCCTCTGAAAAATGAGCAAGGAACAATGTAAAAAGTATAAAGGACAGCCTAACTCCTTTGTCATGAGGAATTGGTTATTTGGGCAAGGCAGGAATTTCAAGTGTTCCGTGTTACATGCTAATGTTGTTGATATACGTACATTTCTACTTTTTACTAAAATGGCACACACTCAAAAGACAATTGATGACTCCATTACTAATTATGTTTCAAAAATTACTGACTGCTTGACAAAAATTGCAGTGATTTTTTTCCCTTATTGTAAAATAATATAAAATGATTAATACCCTGTGGCAGCTTTAAAATTCTAGAGAATAACTTCTAATAGTGAAAACATTCTGCCAATTTTATTCAGACTCCTTAAAGTTAGAAAAACATTGAAAGTAAATCTTTTCATGTCTTCAGATGGTCAGTCTGGTTCCTGAAATAAAAGACTTGCTTCATTTTCCCTTAGATTCGAAATAAAATGATAGATGGAGAAAGTGGAGAAAAAACCTTCAGAACTCTGGTTAAATCTCAAGATGAGGTAAGAATTAAGCCTTATTCCTAACTGGAAGTATGTATTAAGAATACAGATATTGGTAATTTGGCTATCCTTTTAGCATTTGCTTATAAAGTAGAGCTATCCCTAGGGAAAGATTTTTCTTTGTTTGTTAAGGTACTTTGCAGCTGCAGGAATGTTTCACAAAGATATTCTTAACTTTTGTTATTATTTATTTATTTTTAACTATTTTATTTATTATTTTTACTTTATGTGTATGTGTGTATTGCCTGCATGTAGGTAAGTGCACCCATGTCATGGCAACTAACAACTGTCCTTAACTTTTATTTTTATAAAATGGTATTGCTTTAGTTTTGTTAATGTGATCTTACTAATAATGTATTTATTTTAAAAACCTATATTCTTGTCCTGGAGAAATGGCTCAGTGGTTAAAAGCACTTGCTGCTCGGTCATGAAGACCAGAGTTGAGATCCCAGCACCTATGTCAGGCAGTTTACAAACACCTGTGTCTATATCTCCAAGGGATCTGATGTCCTCTTCTGGCCTCTGTGAGCAAACCCCCCACCATACACACACACACACACACACACACCCCACACATGTATACACTTACACAGGCACACGTGGACAACATGTAAATAAAATAAATATTCTTACAAAAGTATATCCTTGAAACTTCAATTTATGCCTAGCTATTATGTCACCATAAGAAATAGATCTCTTAGAACTGGTATTATGGTAATATTGAACTTAAGGAATATTAATGCATTATATTAATTCATAATAGCACATGTTTGATCATTTTACTTTCTTGTTTACTTGTTTCTTTTAAATTATCTTGTTTTTGCTATTTATGCCCTTCATCCTTTAACTATATTTAAATCTGAAAATGAATCATGTAGTAGCACAGCTCCCTTGTTCATCACTGGTTTATGGGTTAAATTGATGCTGCTTCATGTTTATGTGTAAGAGGTCTTTGCATGTACTGAGTGCCTCTCTCCTTAATCACTCATGTGTGGAATACAATCAGATAGGATTAAGAAGCTTTCATGACTGGAAAGTGTTTTATTGAAATTTTGAGATTTTCATTTTTGAGATTTTCATACAATGTAATTTGATACTTAGTTCCCCTCCCCATCCATATCACTCATAGCCCCCCAAGCCCAATTTAATGTACTCTATTATGCAATATATATTATATAATAAGGCCTGCAGTGTAATTTGTGTACCCAAATGTGCTTCAGTGTGAATTCATCCACTGGAGCCTGGCTAACCTACCAGGAGTCCCATCCTTGAAAGAGACTGTCTCTTCCCTTCTTAACAGCCAGTGGTTGCAAAATTTTCCTTAGGTTTGGGGTTTCTTATCCACTTCCCCATGTCTATGCTGGGATTCTGTCTGGTTTCAGCTTGGATAGGACTTGTGCATGCTGTCACCTGACCAGCTATCTTGAAAAAAATTCAGCTTTTATGCCCAACTTTTATCTTTTATCTTCAAATCTCATACTTTTGGGGAGCATATTTTTCTCCTTAATTTCTTGGCAGATTATTCCCTAAACTGGACAGAGAATCTCAATGTACTCCTTTATTAGCACATGACTTTTTTTTCATTTTGATATGAATCCCTATTAGCAGAACATAAAAGAAGGCTTGCATCAATTTCATTTTATTGAAATATCAGCTCAACTTGTTATAATTTAACCATAGTCTTACCCTTCACCCTCTAAAGGAAAGATAAAAAATATTTAACCATTCTGCCAAGTTCTCCCTCTTTATCCATGAACTCTGGCCTTCACATTCTTTATGCAGCTTATAAAGTCATCTCATGTTTCTGTTTGCCTCCTTTCAATTTGCCATCAGTTCAATTTTTAACCAATATTCACTTATGGCCTACATGTGTCTGCAATAGAAGCTTTAGATTTTTCACTTAAATGCAATATTGTAGACAGACGTATTTGCTAATCTTCCACTATATTACTGCTTCTCTCTGCAGATGTCTGTTTGTTTACAAAACTTACTATCTACTTTGAATGAATGGAAAAATTTATCAATATTAAAGTTTATAAAATACCAAAAACAATTGTAATGTTGAACATATGCATTATTCTGAATTTAAGGATACCTTAGAGAAAATTATTGTATTTATTTTATGTAAAGTTTGGCAGGATTACTTTCCAATCCATATGCATTATTCTGAATTTAAGGATACCTTAGAGAAAATTATTGTACCTATTTTATGTAAAGTTTGGCAGGATTACTTTCCAATTAAAATGTTTGTTTTGTTTCACGCTAAGCAGCAGAACTTCTCAGACTGAAGTCAGAACTGAAAGTGAAGTTCTGTTGTAAGAAATTGTATAAATTTTCTTTCGACCGTTTTCATACCCATGAGATAGAAAAGTTGAATATTAACACACATCAACACTAGAAGGCAAGTCATTTTAGTTCCTCAAACATCACCTGCTTCCAACAGACTCTCTCCTTACGTAGGATTTACTGAACATTTTTCAAAAAACCTGCCTCAGATGGATTTGTAAACATCTTTTCATAGTCATCTCTATAAAGAATTCAACTGTTCTTTTAAAAAAGCAAATGTCCTGAGTAAGTAAGGGATTATGTGAAAAATTATAAGTTGCATATGTGCCATCAGTGTACACAGAAGTAGAAAGAGTGGGAATTGCGTACTGTTGTTCAGCAGCTACACAGGCATCTACAGACAAGAAGTGTTTTTTTTTGTTGTTGTTGTTGTTGGTTTTTTTTAACTCTTGGCATCCTTACTCTACTCAGCTTAGGTGTTGTCCTCTGTCAGTGACAGAGCAATTCATTACTTATTAGTTACAGTGGAATGGGAATCATGCTTTTGTATATAGACATGCTGATTGTATTCACTTCCTGATAGTAGCAATCATTTTAAAGCATACTCTACTATGAAAATATTTGACTTTTTCCAGTAGGACATAGTCCTATTTCATTACTGAATTTGGGTTTCAGGAAACCTCTTCAGAGTTTTAAAGAAAGCACCTTGTTATAAAATCTTAAAGTTTTATTCTTATAAATTCCTAACCTTTTTTGTTTAGATACTTAGTTCTCCTCTAAGTTTTTGCTTCACACACATATAACAAAAATACAAAAACTACAGTAGAATACACCATTCACTTGTGAGGAAGGGTACTGAATGCTCCCAGAATTTCCAGGTAGATGTTATTGTTTTTACTCTTCCTATAAATCCATATAGCTATGGGGTGGTAATGGCCATGTCTAATTTTTTCTAGAGATACATTGACAAAGGGAATAGAACATACACATGGACACCTGTCAATGGCACGGATTACAGGTACTTAACTATATTCATATTTCTTTTGTGTAAAGGACTGTTCAGTTCAGTGTGTTTTTTTAATAATATTTGGTAGCCAGTTTTTCAATAAATTAATATTGAAACTGTATTTTGTTAGCTATTTTCAATGGAATTGTCAATGAAAAATTACTCTCTCCCACATACAAATAAATTGCAGTCCCTGATTTTCAGAATGTGAAAGATGAACAGAAGCTAGAAGTATAATATTTAAAATGAAAATTTCCCATAATTACAATAGTAATAAAAGCTGATGTAATCCCCATAATTTGTAGTTATCACTTCCATTGACTTCCTCTTTTGTTTCCATTTAACTTCTAATGCTTGCATTTAGGTCATATTTTAACAAGAATAATGGTATGTCTTCATAATATCTGATATAAAATTACTCAGCCCTCTGAATAGCAGTTTAATAATGTCTGGGTTCTGTCTTCTTGCCAGGATCTCAGACACCTGGACAGCCCAATACTCAGTACTCTCCTCTATGATGCTCTCCTCTCTTCAAACTTGACTGTTTGCTTCACTCTTCTTCCCCACCCAGATCTCCTCAGAGCTTCCCACTTTGCTCTGCTCCTGTGTCTGGCATCCTTAGCATACTGCAATATGTCTGCTTGTGACTCATTCTCTCTCCCTCTTGATAATTTCTATCTTCGGAGTTCATATCATCAGACCACGTCTACACTCACACTTCCTCCATGTTCATTGTCTTTCCTTATTCTTCCAAGGTGGTCTCACTTTCACTCTCCTACATTCACATAGATCCATGGTCTATGGACCCTGTTTTAGACCTATCCACACTGTTATAAAGTAAAACAAAAAATTATTTGCTAGTAAATCTTATAATATATTAAAATCATAAGTTTAATTTTTGTCATTATAGTCCACAGACTTAAAGACAGTCCGTCAAATTGTTGTAAAATTTTCTAAAAGCTCACTCTCAGTTTCTATAATTTTTCTATTCATGGACAAATAGAGAGTTTGAAAATGTATGAGATCCCTGTTCTACACTTAAGTAGTATTAAGAAAGATGATTTTTTTTGTACTTTGATCCCTATTTCTTGATCTCTAGGCCTCTGATGATCTCATCTCTTAGTCACCTATTCCAGAGTCATTTTCTGCATCTTGTACAATGTCCTCTCCCACAGCTTTATACTCTACAAATTATTCCTGACACCACATGTCACTAAAGAGGTGACTGAAGTACAGTGTTCATAAACTAACATAGCAACTATCTCATTTATGAGGCCTTTGTGAGAGCCTGGGGATCTCAACAGCACAGTTTACTTAGGATGGTATACATGGCTTTTGATGATTTTGGTTTTTTGTTGTTCTTTTTTTTTTTTTTTCTTCCTGAAGCCTATAACTTCCTTGTGCATTTTCTCTCAGGGGTAGTCAGGAAAGTTTCCACTCCCACCACAGTATATAACTACTTACATATGTAGCTCTATCTCTTCTCTTTAGTTCTAATCTCAACACAGAACAGTAATGATCATAATAATTGACTTTAGTTGTTTATTTCAACTCCACTCAAATCCCCTATTTTACCCTTTCATTCAATATAACAGAGTCTGTCATGGCCATCAATTCCATAAACCTTCTGGCCTTGTTCATGACCAGTATTCTGAACTCAGTGCTCACATCCTCGACTGAAGATCTCTGGACAAGCCACCAAGTCTTTCTTGCTGCTTCTCATGGACAGTGCTACCATTCTGCATCACACTTCGTTCTTGAAGTTATGTTGACTTAAAATGACTTTGCAAGAATGGGTCACCTATTCATTCTCTGGTCTTCATGCCTTTCCTTACTTCTCATAAACATGTTTCCAACACGTCTAATTAAAATAGTAAATAGCTGGGCCTGGTGGTGCATGCCTTTAATGCCAGCACCTGAGAGGCAGAGACAGGTGGATCTCTGTACGATCCAGACCAGCCTGTTGCACATAGTAAGTTCCAGGCCAACTGAGGCTACAGGGAGATCTTGCCTCAAAAAGACCAAATAATTAATAATAGTAATAACAATAATGATAGTATACATAGCACCATGCTTTATAACTCACCATTTGACATTATGTGCAAACACTTATATGTATATGAAACTTATAGACATGTGATTCCACCACTAATCATTCCTCTTTTTCTCAAAGCTAAGTTTTACGAGAGTAAAGATTACTGCCTTCATGTACGTCTGACCCTCACACCCAAAAGACAGCAGCATATAGTGAGCACTTTACGAATGTGTATAGAATTGAAGAATTTCAATTTGAAGAAAAGGAAATACTTTAAAATTGAAGAAACTTTCAATCTGTCTCATCTTGTCAATTCAGAAAATCATCCCCAAAATTTCTGTTGTAGCATTCATGTGTGGATATCTGTTTACTCTGTGTTGAATATCCAATCAATGTTAATCCTAATTAAATGACTGTGGTAGACTCAGCCATTTCATTTTCTATTTCTTTCCTTCCCAAACCCCCAGAACATGTACATAACCTTTTTGGGGAGCCTAGAGTTCTAGAGATATCCAAGAGCTACAATGTTCTCATAGGAAACCATCTCCTTTTGTTCTTCTGATGGCATGCAGAGAATAGAAAAGAACACAGATGTTCATGTCCTCCTGATATAGTACATGCCAGTCCTCTGTTTTCTCAGTTTTGACGTGTTTTAGAATTTATCATGAAATACTAGAATTACCTGTAATTATTTTACTTATTTCTGTGTACTGATTCTTTCTCTGACTTTTTTTCTAGACATTTCATTATATTTCCAAACTCTTCATGGGCATATACAAATAACTGGCTGGGTTTTTTTCCTCTAATTTTGATATTTCCATTTTTCGGCTAGGGGATAAATTTGTAAACTGAAGGTACAGGGCACCTGGGAGCTCTGCCTCTTGAGAAATGGTTTCATTGCAGACAAAGTATCCGTTGCCCTGGTGGGAATGTGCTTCAGGTCTTTGTTGTCTAGGTAAACAAAGTGCAAAAACATTGCATCGTTTTGGGTGTGACAACAAGTCATCAATGATGGTTGATTTAAGGCAGGTGCAAGGCCCCTTCAGGGAATATTCAAATTTTTCATTGAACCGTGCTAGTGTGGGTTTGTAATTGTCTCACAAATGGTCTTTTTCCAAATCTTTACTTACACACCCAGGAATTATGCATAGTGTGAGGAGATTAATGTTCTTTCCACAAATTCAGTGTCATTCCTTGCTCACAAAACACTAAATTAGATCTTCTAGGAATGATGCTCGTATCCCATCTCCTGACCAAGCTTCTGCCATGCCACTTTGCTGCTTCTGTCTCCGTGCCAGACTCTGCAGGGACCTCAGCTTCCTTACTGTGCTTTCTTTCCTCACACAGTCCATTCCCCAGTCTCTAAATTATGTTCTCCCCCATAGAAATTCTTTCCTCATGGCTAGGCTGATAAATTCACAGATAGCAAACAAAATATCACTTTTAGCTTGAAAATATGAAGTTTTATTAAACAAATGAGATACTAAATGTCAGACACAAGACATTTCTATCTTCTTAAAATTTGATCCAAATTAGGTACCACATTTTGAAATGGAATAATTACTTATTTTATGGGAATGTGTTCTTTTTTTTTTTGATGGGGATAAATAATTGAGTTGAAAAGTGTGTTATATTCCGTTTAACTCAGTTAACTAAGTTTATGTGAATCACAAAACTATCATCCATCCGGTGTCACTTGCTTTATTAAACTCTAATGTCTACGCTGAAATAAAGCAGCCTTGGTGTATTTGGGTTATACGGCAAGATCAAGGAGACCTTGCATATGACCACACCATGGCTTTGGAATGTTGGTAAAGATTTTATCTGCAGTATGTGGAAGAAGCAACTGTGTGGTTGAGTTGGAAATAGATATATCTTAATTTTCCATAGAATGAATTGTGGCTATGACTAACAACATCAGATTTGCAGGCCAATGCATCATGTATTTAATATGCTAATTTAAAAATGTCAGGGTCCCTAAGGGTTTCTACACCACTTTCTGTGGTGCGTGACAGGTAACTCAAGCTTATGGAGGGATACTGCATCAGTCCTGATAAAATGTTCTCAGTTTTAATTAGAAGTTTCTTCTGCCAATAAATGCTGATGGAGCAATAAAAATACCCTAATTTCCCTAGAGAGGAATTTATAGGAGACAGTCTTCAAATACTCAGTAATTCAGTTCTATCTTTTAAAAATGACAAATGAATCCTGAAATGCCATCTTGCCCTCTGGATGATTGCATTGCTTATGTTAATTTTAATCTTTGCCTCCACTTGAAGTTACCTATAATTTTCATTAAATCTACATAACATTATATTTACCTGACCTTTTCTTATAAGGAAGTCTATGAATTAGTTAATGGTGTGAGAGCTTTGGGAACTGAGGGTAACAAGCATCTACTCATTTTGCTGTCTTTATTGCAAAACTCAATTTTAGCAAGAAAACCCTTGCACTTTAAAATTCGTGCAAAGAAATTTTAAAGTTTATATTGATAAATCCAAAATTTTGTATTTTGGTTTATTCCATATTGCCCATCAATAACATATAATGAAATGGCTGTTTGGATCTCTATTCCAAAATCTGGGGGTGCATGAGGCTTGTGTGACTTAAGGATCTACAAATACCTAAAAGTACTCAAATACCTAGAATGCACACCTTTCCCTGTGTGTCACTAATAGTTGGGGTAAATGGTACCAGTGTACACATATGGCACAATTTGTCCTGCTAATCAGGAACTGCTCTTTGTAAGTAGTTGCATTGGTTGTCTTGGAAATGCCTTCATATCTTGCATCTGGCTTCCTTTCTCTTTTTTTGTCTTTTTGAGCCCCTGTAGCCCCAGCTGTCCTGGAACTCATGATGTAGACCAGGCTGGCCTCGCATCACAAAGACCCGCCTGCCTCTGCCTCCCAAATGCTGGGATTAAAGGCGTGTGCCACCACGCCCAGCCTCACTAGCTTCCTTTTATATTCAGGGCACAGCAAAGGTCATTTGCAATGGCAAATGTGGATTTGTAGCTGTCGGCCATACCTTCCACTTGTGTCTTAGCCAATGAGAGACAATAATTTTACTTCGGAAAATTGCCCAATCTGAATTAAAAACTAATGCCTCTGGTGTTCTATTAATTAGAAATTTCAAAAAAGAGTAAGGTTACCTGCCTGACAGCTTATTAATGTGAACAATCAGGGAAACAAAGTGGGTGACAAGTTTGTTTAATATTCCTTGTGATTAAAACATTCCAAAGTTGGCCTAAGATTGCAGTGGAACTCTTCCCCCAATCAGGACATCTACTGTAATTTTTCTGTACATAATAACAAAATGCTCAATCATGTGGCATGTTGGAAGTAAATCAGTTGTACAGGACACTGGGCAAGTGAATAAGAAGCAATGAAACAAGTGACCTCTATAAATGGTTTGAGTTTGTTCTCAGGCAGATACTGGGGAAACGGCCCTAAAACGAGAGTTTTAATATAGTCGGTTTTTAATCCCTCCAAGGAATATACTTCAGATGGCTCTGTGCACTGTGAATGATAACAAGGTTAACTCTTACATTTGTAATTCTTAATGTTTGTTGCAAAGCATTTCTCACTATATAATAAGGGAGTATATAACTGGTATGACATTTACTTTTTTTAAATTCATACCCCTATTTTTCTTCTTTTTTTTTTGTCAAATTTTGTAGTATTTGAGTAATTTTCTGGAAACACAGCTCTGGAAACACAGCAGGCACAAGGCATCCTTCCTCAATTATTTTATGGCTTCATTCAGTAGCTTATTTCCTACCTGTCTCTTAATTCCCCACCCTATAAAGAACTGGATGGCTGTTTAGCAAGGTGGAAATTAAGAACTTGATTTGCTGAATGCATTTTCTTGTCAAAGTAATATGTCCTTTCCTTCCCATGAGGAAGATCTTTGGATTTTCCTACGAACTCGATGTGTCTTTTTTTTTAAGTTGTGTTTCATTTTGTTTGTTTGTGTTTATGCTTCTCTTGTTTCTATTGCAGTTTGGCCTTGGTATTACCAACCTACAGTTTTTACTATATAAAAGCCAAAATAGAAGAGACAATAACTCAGGCCAGATGTAAGTACTGTGAAAGCAACTTCAGGGTCTATTTGTTATTTCCTAGTCTCAGACGTTTATACCTAGATTTTGGAATACCCAAGGCTTATACATTTTAGTAGGTTTTATTATCAAATCTATAGCAATGATTCTGATCCATTCCAAACATGCAAGGAACAAGAAATATTCTACATGGATAGAATATGAGCAGGTACTCCAGTCTCACTGGCAGTCCCCACCGCCCTTCCCTGCCTTGCTATGTGCTCAGAGAATCATTGCAGTGCTGTGTCCTCTGTGGCTGTCGTTTTAAGGGTCTGCTAGCTGGTGTGGAACGTTTCACATCCTAATTACCAACATGGTCTCCACTCGTGGCGCTGTGCTATCAAAGCTTTTTCTTTTCTTATCTTTCCTTTTCTTGTTTTCTTTTTGCATTTAGCCAGAATAATACTGTGCTTGGCAATTAGCTTTTTTTCATAACCCAAATTAATGTCTTAGTGACTCAGATGGATTTTTAAAGCATCATTTGGAACGTGGAGTAATTAACACCAGTACATATTTCAAGTCATTGTTAATTTTTATTTCGTTTTTGATGGCTAGCTTTAGTTAAGCAAAATGACCATCATATCCTTTGTACACAGCTCGATTATTATTATCAACCTAAAACTTTTGTTAGGATTCAGGGAAAAACTATGTATCTTTTACCACTGACTTTAAACTATTTCCCTTCATTTCTGTGTCAGTTCTTTTTGGCTGTTCGCAGTAGTGGGAGTCATTCGTTTACTGTAGTATCTTAAAGTTTACATTTGCACTTTTACTTAATAGATATGATGGTCTTTTAACAATAAGCAATTTTGCATGAGCTAGTTCTTCACTTGACAAATGAGGGGGTGACTAGGGAGTCTTTGAGGACTGGTAAGTGCTTCTGCTAAGAGCTGGCATCATTGGTCCTGCATTGCATCCACCACTTTGCAAAAACAGACCCTTGAAATAATCACAGTACAGAGAGAAGAATCTAGTAAAATTGACAGGTCATATCTCCCAGACTTCAAATCTGCGTGTCTTTTTTTCCAGAGTACAGCTGAACATGAATGAACCTTTGATCTATGCACAATATTTTTATTCAACAAAGTCATTGAATAAAATATTGTTTGTGACCCCCTTTGCTTTACCCTGTTTTTTTTTCTGTTTCCCTGCTTTCTCTTTCTGATGGATTTACAGCAAAAAAGGGGAAAATGAAGGGCAAGTATTTTCTTGTTGCTCAATTTCTTTCTGTTTAGTGCTCTTGACATTTCCATTGATATTGTCATTCCTATTGGATATTATCCTCTGTGCTTCTCATTTCCTAGATTTTCCTCCATGAATATTCTGTAGTTAGCAGCAAAATGGGGCAGAGTATGTTGTATTTGGTTATGCAATCTGTCACATTTAAGTTGGGTTATTTAGATACCATGTGGTGTTTAATCTGTTCACCTACTAATTCATATCTAATATAAAGAATCCTATTACTTCACTAAATGCATTAATGAATTTATTGAAAGCATTTTATCATTATGTGAGTAAACTTCACTGATATTTTAAATAAAATACTTGACATAATGTAGCTATTCAGAGGCTTTAAAGATATTCAGTTATATTAGAATTAGTAAATGGGTAAAGTGTTGTTAACATTTTATATTAAATAACTGTAATAATTATTGACTGAAGTTTATCTATGTTATGATATCATTATATTGGGAAGCATTGAGAACCTTTACAGTTATGTATTTTTTTTCAACTTTTTGTATATAAGTAGTCTGTTTGAAAAGTCTTCTTACTAGGTCCTTGGTCTAATGCCTTTATTGTCACAGACAATTGGAGCTTGCACTCTGTATCATTTATCTAATCCTATAACATTAAATTCACAGATTCAGAAACCTTAAAACCAGACAATTTTGAAGAATCTGGCTACACATTCATAGCACCAAGGTTGGTTTGTTTTTGTTCTTCTGATTTCTGCTGTTATAAGTCGTATTTTTTGCTAAGGTCTTCAACAAAAATCCAAAATTGCAGTCAATGCTCTTCTGGGTTCACTGTGTCAAAGTATGGAACCAAAGGGGATAATGATTTTATAACTGTACAGAGCCCTGCTTATTCATCCAAGTACTTTACTGTAAACTAAACATTATGCTAACTTAGGTAGACAGTGACTAAAGAGACAGGGAGACTTTGCTCTTGTGGAGCATCTAATAGTATCAAAGAGTTGTCTGCTTGCAGTTGTTTAGCACACACATACATGTATATGTAAGCACAACATATTATACATATACACCTATATGTGCATGATGGGCATACACACATACATATGTGTGAATAAATATATGTATAAACCTACAAACACAGATTGGAAATGTTTTAAGCTTAAAATCTTTTTCATTTGTACTGTAATAGAGCCTTCTGGAAAATATATTTTAGTGTAATGACATTTTTTCACATAACTCTGTGTGCGCATGTGTGTGTGTGTGTGTGTGTGTGTGTGTGTGTGTGTGTGGTTACATGCCCTTGTGAAAGCCAGAGGAGACCACCATGTGTGTGTGTGTGTGTGTGTGTGTGTGTGTGTGTGTGTGTGTATGTGGTTACATGCCCTTGTGAAAGCCAGAGGAGACCACCGGTGTCTTCCTCTATCACTCTCCACACTATTCCCTTCAGACAAATTCTCTCATTGGACTTGAATCTTGGAGTTTCAGCTAGGCTGACTGATCACAAGTGCCACTCATACTTCTTTTACCTTTTTTATTTATTTCTGTGTTATATGTGTATGAGTGCTTGTCTGCATATATGCAAGTGCACCACATGCATGCAATGCTCATGGAGGCCAGAAGAAGGAATCAGATCCCTTGGAACTGGAGTTAGTCAGCCACCATGTGTAAGCTGGCAACTGAATATGGGTCCTCTGGAAAAGCAGTCAGTGCTATTAACTGTTATCTTTCCAACTCCCACACTTGTACTTCTTATAGAAATTATTCTAAGAATCTAAAAGGGATCCTAAAAGTTGTTCTGAATTATTTTTTTATTTTTGCATGCAAGGAAGTTAATGAATTCTACTTCAACTTGGAATTGCCAGTATCTGTAACATTTTGAGAAATCCCACTCAACAGAGCTTATCCTCAGCTTTGTGAGATTCTCTCCTTCAAATGTGTGTGGACAGGGCCATCCACTTCCTCTGATCCTCTCTGCCATCAGTTACTTGATGTCACACTGTCCTGATTTTCTTATTTCTGTCTGGCTATAGATTCATAGGCTCTTCCATGAGCTTCATTTTCTCTTGATCACGTAAAGAGGGTGCTGAGAAGTGTGCTTGGCTTGGCTGGCTTCATGTCTGAGTCCATCTTTACACCACAAGCCATCCATCTCTTCCTCACCTACAATTTGGGGTGAGGCTCCCAAACTTGACAAGACAGTCTAGCAGCCAGAAACAACAGACTCCAGTGGTTTGTTGACAATGCCATACAAGGTCAAATATATTTATTTCCAGACTTTGTCCACCCTCATATTTCCACATGAAACATTCATGTATCATGAAAGCCTAACAGGACTATTTCTTCAGTGTGCTTCCAATTCAGAATCTTGCAAATATTTGTCCCATTTGTAAAGCCCTTCTTGCATTGCTTCATTGAAGAAAAACCATACTTCAATGTGCAATCTTGAAACCTGGTAATTGTCCTGGTATGCTCTCTCTGACCTCTCGCTTCTAATTGTCTGCCAGCCTTGGCAGTTCTATCTTAGGGTGAAAATATGTTTCTGTCACTCTGTAACTACTTTCCCCTAGTCCAAATCTTTCTTTCATTTGCTCCTTGCTTTACAATCCTGTCTGTATAAGGTAGCTAAAAAGGGTTTCTAAACTGTGAAGTCATCTTTCTCAACCTCAACTTACTAAACAGTGCTTTGTATTATTAAGATAATCTGGGCTTTATTTCAGAGTTTCCAAGTGCTCTGTCACCAGGACTCATGGTCCTGCTGTTGCCCTCTTTACACTGAGTTGGGAGCTTGCTAACTAGCTGCTCATGTCCTGAAGTACAGCAACACTCACTTGCTGATACACTGTCAGTGACCGCAATATTGTCACTTCTAGCTTGATTTCTGTTGCTATGATAAAATACTCTGACCACAAGCAACTTAGGGGAGGAAAGGGTTTATTTGGCTTATACTTCTGGGTCACAGTCTCTTGCTGAAGGAATTCAGGGCAGGAACCCAAGCCGGAACTTGAAGCAGAAATAATGAAGGAAAGCTTGCTGGCTTACTCCAAGTCTCATGTTTAACTAGCTTTCTTGTACAGCCCAGGTGATTCACTGCCATGAGAATGGTGACGCTTGCAGTGAGCTGGGTCCTCCTTCATCAGTTAACTCTCAAGACTGTCATGCACAGTCAAGGCCATAGGCCAATGTGATCTGGGAAATCACTCAATTGAGACTTCCTTTGCAGGTGACTAGGCCATGGCAAGATGACAGTTGAAACTAATTAGGACACTGTCTTAGGGCTACTAGAGTGGCAGAGCCTGAATCATTTGCTGTAAAGATTGCCCACACCGATTACAAATTCCAGATGCACCAAACTCATTTCTAAATGCACTGGATTTTGTTCCTGTTCTTTCTCTCTACCATCTGTCTTCTACTAACTCTCTTTTGCTTTTTGAACTGTGTGTACATACATCCCACCAACTCCTAAATGTCAGCTTGAGAAATTCCCATCATCACTGTTATACATCCAATGAATGAATGCTTCATAGAATCCTGCACTTCCCTTACCAGATCTCTGACAGGTTTTCATTTATTCACTTTACTTCATGGAACTACTACATGTCAATTCAATGTTCAATGTTGAATCCATAGTTCAGTATAGTGTAGAGCTGAATAAATACCTGGCAACAGTTGAATTTATAAATATTTGAATATCATTTTTAAAATTCATATGACTAACAATGATACCTGTGGTCTTTGTGTGGTTGTGTGTGTCTGTGTATGTGTGTGTGTGTGTGTGTGTGTGTGTGCACGCGTGCCACGCATGCAGGCAGAGGCCAGAGATCAACCCTGGGGAGTGTTGTTTCTCAGGAGGCATCCACCTTGATTTTGGGGGACAGAGATTCTCATTGACTGGAGCTCAGTCAATTAAGTCAGGTTGCTTTGCCAGGAAGGACCAGGGATCCACCTGTGTCCCTCGATGGCACTAGTATTGCAGACATGTGTCACTACATCTCATTTTTTATGTGGGTTCTCAAGATTGAACTCAAATTCTTATGTTTACATGAAAGGAATTTACCTACTAAGGTATTTCTCCAGACCCCAGTACTTACAATCTTATTAGCACATTTCAAATACAAGTAACTTGAAACAACTTTAAGTTAACTTTGTTATTCTGAATATCATTTTACTAACACCAATTTTAACTAGAAAAGAGAAGATTCTCCATATTATCTTTTATATTGCAAATATCAAGAACATTAACTAGAAAAGAGGAGCTTCTCAAAGAATTTAACATAGTAAAAAAATATATATATATGAAAAAATTGAAATTAGGGCTACTATGATGACAAGACCCTCTTCATCTCAGATTCTCAGATGTATGTTTTTCTCTGGAAGGCCATTTCACACACACTTCCCAGTTATTCAACAGCTGATATGCAGACTGACTCCCAGCTCCACTATGAGAAAAGAAGATGGTAGAATCCACCTGCCTAATTCATGAGCAATGGATTCTGTTTAGCCCATCAGTGATATGGTCATGGACAGTTTCTGTGACCTGAGTGGTTACTGATGTCAGTACAACCCATGCAAGGTAGGGTTTCAGTTGTCTGTTTAACAAACGGAGGAAATGAACTTGTAAGACAGGCCAATGTCATGTGTTAAGACCTTTACATGCAACGTTGTACTTAATGCAAATATCTCATTCACAGATTAGGAAATGATTTTAGAAATGTTAAGATGAGATTTAAACCAATTTACTTTATACTGGAAGGTATAAGTCTGTAAATTGAATGTGTGAGTGTTAAGGGATCTCAAAGAACACCAGGTATATCTGAGTAAAATGCTTCTATAGACAAGATTTTCTTGAAAAGTGAGGATCATGTGTATAGTCAGAGTAGCATAAAACAGAGTTGTAGAAAACTGGGGTAAAGGCTAAAACTGAGACAAAGTAGAGATTTGTGTGGTAGAACAGCATTCATGTACTCTTTTCTCTCACTTATGTGAAGTAACACTGGGTCTATTTTCAAATCTTTGCTGTCATAGACATCACTCAAATTCTTTGGAATTTAGCTAATTCATTTACAAAAAAAATTCTGTCTTAAAGAGGTCTAGAAATTAAACAAGATAATGCATTCCAAGTTTTTGTGTCTTAGAGGGGGGAGGGAGGGAAGGAAGGCAGGAAGGAAGTAGAGAGGGAGGGAGAAAGTGAGGGAGGGAGGGAGGGGAAAGGAGAGGTGAAAACAGAAGGGGACAGTTTGGGGAGTGAAAAGTCTAGCAAGAGAGGAAGGAGAAGGGAGGGAGAATGGAAAGGGGCCCAAATGTGAGCAAGGGACAAAGTTATGATTCTGATTAATCGATGTTCACAAATTTTTTAAATTTTCAAACAATTGCAGTGGAACTTCATTGAGAATTTAGATGCGTGGAACATGAATTCTACATTTAAAATGCATTCACAGGAATGAAAAGCCCACATCATGGGATAATTTCATCTTTTTCTTGGATAACCAGAAATAAAGACAAATTAAGATACAAAAGAGCTGGGCATGGTGGTGTATGCTTTTAATCCCTGCACTCAGAAGCAGAGGCAGGAAGATCTCTGTGAGAACAAAGACAGTCTGGTCTACATAGCCAGTTGTAGGCAAGCTGGGGCTACACAGAGAACATATTG